AGACTGGGTGAGGAACCTTTTTGGGGGGAACTGCTGACCCAGAGAAAAATCAGTCAGGGGCTGCAGGTAGGTGGTGGATGCTGGAGTGCCAGTGGGGGAGGCCCTAAGCTGTGGGGGCCAGACAACCCAGAGGCCACAGGTTCCGCACCCCGGTATAAAATCATATGATTTTCTGTTGCTGAGTCTTAATAAAAAGACAAATACATTATTAGAAAATTAACACCTAATGATATTAGACTAACATCCTGCTTGATGTCTGGGAGCTAGTAGTCTTCTATGGAAGCTGTTTAAGATGACGGTGGCAAAGTTGAAAACTTTTGCTACTGTAAGGGAGATGGGGAGAATGCAAGGAAATATGCCAGCAAGGGTCTGAAAGCAGGGCAAAATTGTCTGGTAATAGTAATCTGCGGGTCTGTCTTCCCTTTTTCATGTTGAAAGATTAGTGAGGTGGAAATGCGTATTGTCCCTTTTTTATGTTCTCAGGAGAATGAAATGGGGGCCCTTCTACTCTGGTCTGTAATTCCTCCCTCCTCCACATATGTACAGGCTGTCCTCTCTATAAATCCAAGATGTATTCCATAAAACGTGGATTTACAGCAAAACCACTTAAAGCAGGGAATTTTTTTTCCCCACTGGCTGACTTCTGTTTGCACTTTTTTTAAAATTTTATTTATTTATTTTTTTGCTCAACTTAAGAGCGGGATATGGGAATATTTATAATGTATCAGTTCCTACAAGTGTCAATGACTTAAGTGCGGAACGGATGTATACCAGGGTGACATAGTGGGGACACCCCGTATTCCTGAACATACATGGAGTCTTTGGAGGCAAGACTAAAGAATTTTATCTTTAACATAGGTGTGTATAGAAGGATTTTTTTTTTCTTGTTGGAGGTTTGTTGCTTTTTGTAAATGGTTTTAGTTAAAAACTCCAGGCACAAAAACAAATAGTTAATGAATAAACGTGACTTATAGAAGTATTCTGTCCATTACCGAGGAGGATGACAAAGACAGTTGCAAGCTGGAATAAGTTTTGCTAATACAATAAGCCTCGTTCAGGCTAGGGATGTAAGCGACTAATCAAATAGTTGACTATCTGATAAGCAAAAGCAAATTGGATAGTCGACACACTAGTAGACTAGTCACTCCGCCTCGCCCTTGCTGCCTCTATCAGAAAGTCAGGGGGCGGGAGAGGAGGTAATTCTGGGGGGAGCTGGCTTAAAAGCTAGTTTCCCCCCAGCTCTGTGGGTGGGGTCAGGGATGCAGCCGCAACATTCCACCTTTGAAATGTACAAGAGTCCATGCTGGGGCTCTTGTACATTTTAAAGCGGAAGCGCTACATGGAGCCCAGGGTCAGCGGGCACTCCCCACTGACCCCAGGCTCCCTGCGGCATACACAAGAACCCCTACTGGGACTCTTGTGCATTTCAAAGGAGGAATGCTGTGTGGCACTTCTGCCTTTGAAATATAGCAATTGCTGGGCAGGCTCTTGTATCTTTCAAAGTGAAGGCGCCCTTATCAACTAATTGAATAGTTAATGGAAATTCTATTGACTATTCGATTAGTTGATTAATCTAATTTTAACATCCATAGTTCAAGCAAAACCCTGCATGGTCACTTGCTTTAGACCTTTTTCTGCTGAGACACCATTTCACCATTAATCAAAGGATGTTAAGAGGCAGGTAATTCGCTAATCATGTAGTTGATAGAATTTTTGACTACATGACTAGTCAATGAGGAAAGAAGTGCTCAGTCCCAGCTTGTGCTGAGTCTGGAAGCTACCCTCACTGGCTCTCCAGTTTAAATGTACTAAGAGCCAGGCGGGCAGGCAGCCCAGCTCTTAGTACACATGACTAGTCAATGAGGAAAGAAGTGCTCAGTCCCAGCTTGTGCTGAGTCTGGAAGCTACCCTCACTGGCTCTCCAGTTTAAATGTACTAAGAGCCAGGCGGGCAGGCAGCCCAGCTCTTAGTACAATTAAACTGCAGAGCCGCAGTGGAGGTAGGTCTCAGATCCGGTGCCAACCAGGACTGAGCCAGGTTTGTCACGGAAAGAGCCAGCGGGGAGGGGAGAGATGGGAATGCGAGTTGTCAACTCAACTAACCAGTAAACCTAGACTAATCAACTACAGCCTCTCCCCGAGTTACAAACGAATTACGGACCAAACACTTGGCCGTAACTTGATTTGTTTGTAACTCGGACCCCATTGAGTTACATAGCGACCGCACTCTTCATAAGCGTGGGTCGCGTTTGTAACTTGGGGACCGCCTTTACGACCACTCCATGGAAGCTTTGGTCGTAAATGCAAATGGTCATAACTCGACTGTTCGCAACTCCGGGACCGGCTGTACTTGCTTACATCCCTACATTAATCTGAACTTTTTTTTTTATTTTGGGCTAATCGTATTTCTTAATATTCCTAGTTCTGAGTCAATAGAGATGTTTTGGACATTAAATGACATGTACTTAATTAAATTTTAAAACATTGAATCCTCTTCCTTTAAATCTTTCCTTGTAAACATGCTACTTGTTAAAGCTTGTCCATGTTGTCCATGACACTTACGTGGTAAATTACATTAACGTTAACGTTAAAAAATTATATCTGAATTGCCCTTGGATTTCACCCTTTGTGGGCTCCTTGCAACATTTCAAAGTGGCAGTGCCACCTGGAGCTCAGAATCAGCTGGGGACTCCCCTACTGACCTCAGGCTCCATGTGGCAGTGCCACTTTGAAACACCACAGGAGCTCAGCATCGGGCTCCTTGTGGCATCTCAAAGTGGCAGTGCCACATGGAGCCCAGCAGGAGAGTCCCCCAGCTGATCCAGCTGCCGCTTTAAAACGCTGTGTTCAGCCCAGGGCCAGCTGGGATATCCCCAGGCTGCATTTGGCATTTCAAAGCGGCAGCACCACGTGGAGCCTGGCATCTGGCCCCAGGCTCCATGCGGTGCTGCCACTTTGAAGTACCCTCTCCACTGCTTCTGCTGCTTGCTGCCTCTTTCTGATAAAGGCAGCAAGAGGGCAGCAGCGACTAGTCTATTAGTCTGTGACTATCCGATAAGCATTTGTGACTAGTCGTTCACATCATAGAATCATAGAACTGGAAGAGACCTCAGAAGGTCATCAAGTCCAGCCCCCTGCTCTAGGCAGGACCACATCCCTAATTTCAAGGTGCTCAGGCAAAGACTAACTTTGCACCAGTGTTCTCAACATCAAAAAAGTAATTTTGGCTTAAAGCTTATAGAATTACCTGAATTTAAATGAATGCATGCATACTTGTTCAGAACAAGATTTCATGGTTTGGGGTTTTTTTTAATAATAAAGCTGTTAGAATTGTTGAGGCAGGAGGAGAAAGAACTGGAGACAGAATTGATTCTTGAAAGGTCTAGTGGAAGTGCATTTTCCTATCATTAGTCCAAATTTCTGCAAGTGTCTCAACTTAGATTCCCAAAATCACTAGTCAGTTTGGAAAATATTGGTCCCTGATGTTAGACTTTAATTCTTCCACTATTCAAATAACTGTCTCATGATGAGAAATCACATCTCACTCTGCGGTCTGGTGGAATGCTGCTAACAGCAACATGCATGTATCCTTTTAATATGAAAATACTATATGGCCCCCTCTTGGCAATATGCAAATGAGGCAAAGCGTGGAATATTGCTGTGCCTCATTTGCATAATTAACGAAGCTCCGTTTTCGTGCAAGAGGCTTTTGCACAAAAAGGAGCAGTCTGCATGGCTCCTTTTTGTGCAAAACCTCCCTCTTGTGCAAGAGCTGTTCTTCCTCTTTTTTTTCCTGGAAGAACAGATCTTGCTCAAGTGGGGGGTTTTGCGCAAAAAGGAGCCGTGTAGACTGCTCCTTTTTGCGCAAAAGCCTCTTGCACAAAAATGGAACCTCATAATTATGCAAATGAGGTGCAGCAATATTCCATGCTTCACCTCATTTGCATATTTTTTGTGCAAGAGGGGGCAGTATAGACATGGCCTATAGGCATTTGGGGCTTATTTGAACGAAGAACTGTGACTTTCAGAATGAAGTAATATTAACTGGATTAAGAGTTATAAAATGTATCTTTCAGATGATACATCATATAACTACAGTTCCGTAAAATGCATCTTTGGGTTCATGTTTGAATCAGAATGACTTCTATAGCTATTTTCTTTTGTTTACAAATAAAAAACTGCTTCTCATTATTAATTCTGAGTTTGAAAATCACTAGGGCTTTTTTCTACATACATATTGTCCTCAATAATGAGGACTGCAATTGGAACTTGGTTAACAATTCTGTTGATAGTGTATGTCCCAGATTATGCTTTAGATCACTATCCAAATCTGGGTTAGTTGTATGGGAACAAAAATAGCGAACAAACAAAAAAATCTCTTGTTTTCAGAAAAGTAATGAAACAGAAGGTGTAAATCTAGTGAGTATAAGATGTTTTTGTCACTTCAGATCATAGCTACTTTTCAGAGAGGAGATAAAATTGATATAACATTGTCTGATCAGTGGACTGTGCAGTCGTTGAAATATATCATTGATGTTACATGTCCAGTGCTCTTGCGATATTTTTTTTTATAAAATATGGGAAACCTTTATAGATTTAGTGGGCCTGCATTTGACAGGCTGTATCACTTGGATCTGATGCTGCCAAGCAGAAAGCTAGCCCTGCACTTCTCTAGGAGTGAATGATTTTACCCTGTAATTAATTTTCATACTTCTATGATGCTCAAGTGCATTCCCTGATGCTGAACTAATGCCTTTATCAAAGAGTAGATAACAGAAATATTAGTTTATACTATAAAAAGAAACTTAAGTGTTCTTCCCTGCACGTTTTATTTAAGACTGTAATTAAGGACTTCTTTCTGAGGAATCCTATTTCTAACAAGATTTGGATTTGTTGTCACTTGGCTATCTAATTTGACCAATGACCAGGATTTCTGGGGCTTCAGTTAGAAGTGACTCAGATCAGGTAATTTTTACTTCATTACTTTGATGACCAGTGCTAATTAAACAACTGTTATTTTACAGTTTCACCTTTAAACTAAAATGAGTGGCTGCCGTGTCTTCGTTGGACGTTTGAGCCCACATGCCCGGGAACGGGATGTGGAGAAATTCTTCAAAGGATATGGACACATACGTGAAATCCATCTGAAAAATGGTTTTGGGTTTGTGGTAGGTATATCATTGTGTTTCCTCTTTTATGCAGTTACAGGCTCAGTTACCTTAATAGCATGGAGGGGACGTCACTTAGGGAAGAAATGTTTGAGACTAGCCGTTCGGGTAGGGGAATAAAACATGTTCGTTTCTGCTTTCAATTGCTTTTCATGCGAGCTAATAAAAGTATTAAGGATGTAAGTAGCTAGTCAAATAGTCAACTACCTAATAAGCCTAAGCTGTATCAGAAGCAGCAAGGGGGCAGTTTGGAAGCAGGAGCCGGTGCTGAGGGAAGCCAGCTTAAAAGCTGGTTTCCCACAGTACTGTCGTCATGGTGCCTTCTATCATCGTCGTCCCCCCCTTTCTCCCCCGCACTGCTGACTCTGATAGAGGCAGTAGTGCGGTGGGAGGGGGCCACAGGGGAGGCTGCCTGCTGTGGACCCTGGCTCTGTTCGCGGTCAGCCCTGGCTGCCATAGGCAGGGGCTGCTGCCTGTCTGCGGGAGGTCTCAGAGGGGCCCCCATGGACCAAGTTTGCTGGACCTAGCATGAGCCAGGACTAAGGAGGTATGGCTCAGGCCCAGCTTGCCCCGGGTCCTGGAGCTACCCCTGCTGCAGCTCTGCATTTTAAATGTAGTAATAGCTGGACAACACTTACTACATTTCAAATGCAGGACTTTAGCAATCCCAGACCTGGCATGAACTGGCCTTACTCTGTCCCAGCGCGTGCTGGGTCCGGGACCTACCCCCACTACAGTTCTGCAGTTTAAATGTAGTAAGAGCTGGGCTGCCTGTGCGCCCAGTTCCTACTACATTTAAACTTCAGAGCCACAGTGCGGGTAGCTTCTGGACCCGGCTCAAGCAGGGACAGAGCGCCTTACCTGATTGTGTAGTCGTCACAAATTGTATTGATTACAGGATTAGCCAGTTTCTTGTCTCTGAGCATCCTTAAACACACATACATATATATTACACACACACACACAGTGTAAAATGATTGAGCAAGTATTTATCTACTACAATTGGTTCCTAGCATAGTAAAGGCATTCTGATTGGTTGATATTAAAACTCTGTATTATTTTGTTATCACATACTGTAGGAAATACATTAAAGAGCCACTTGCTGCTCACAAGCTGCAGTCTGAGTATCACTGCTCTAAAGAATGGCTTGGTGTCAGTTGTTGCCGAAAACAGTTGTAAAAGTGTTTTTCTATTGAAACCTCATAAAGGAATGGACTTCAGTAATCATCACACTCCTTGTTTATAGCCATTAAGACAATAATAAATTATAAAATTTACCTCTAATAGCACTTTTTTAAATCAAGAACCTTAAAGCATTTTAATACACTAACAAAAGCTAGGTAAGTAATATTCCCATTTTATATACTGGTGAACTGAGTAAAAGAGATTAAGTAACTTGGCAGAAGTCAGATAGCAAATCTATAGTAGAGCTATGAATATAATCCGTAATACCCAATTCTTGGTTTTCCTCATTAAGGGCCAGATTCTGATATCCTTACTCAGGGTGTAGCATCTCAATGTGTGTACAGGCAGTCCCCGGGTTACGTACAAGATAGGGACTGTAGGCTTGTTCTTAAGTTGAATCTGTATGTAAGTTGGAACTGGCGTCCAGATTCAGCCTCTGCTGAAACCGATCAGTTTCAACAGCGGCTGAATCTGGATGCCAGTTCTGACTTGCATACAGATTCAACTTAAGAACCCCAGGCATCCCCAAGTCAGCTGCTGCTGAAACTGATCAGCGGCTGATTCCAGGAAGCCCGGAGCAGGGGCTTCCTGTAGTCAGCCACTGGTCATTTTCAGCAGCTGCTGACTTGGGGACACCTGGGGCAGAGCCGCCGGGGGGGTGCTGGGTTGGTCCAGTGGCACCCAGAGCGGCGCTACGGGACCAACCGGCA